GCTTTTTAATATGCTATAACCTTACTAAAAACACTTAAAAGTGAACATTTCTCAATACAGTTATTGAAATTTTTTCCTTCTAATGTCAAACAAGAAAGGTTGAGACTTATGGTTAAAATGAAAACGATGTCTTTCTTTTTCGAATAAACGGTCAGATTTATGGCCACACCCCTAATGTTTTTGGATGAATAGAATTTCGATAGGCACACGTATAACGAAAAACTTCTACTAATGCCGTTTTCTCAGTGACCTCGAACTTTCGACAAGACCTATCAGGATAGCAAAAACTTTCGGATGACTCAAAAAAGGACCCTAGAATTTTCGAAACGACTAAAGTTTCCCTTAAATATCCGAGCAGATAAACATTCTTTAGGGCATCTCCAAGTTAACTAAAAAGGCTTCTAGAACATTGAGAAATCCATTTTAGACACTTCTGACGTCTTTGGAAAGATTCGCTCGTTGGGGGCCTCTGTTGATTGGAGTCAGCGAAAGTACTTGAAATTACTGATCTAATAAACGAACATCCTTACTATTTAAGTCTTGAATCCAATCCGACCACCCAGCGACGACTGTTCCGTCATCGTCAATTCTATCCTCAAATTTTACCAAGTACCCTTCGTGTTTCCTATATGCCACGATCTGTCCTTTGCACCATCCCCAGTACTTTGTCACCTTTCCTGTTTTGTCCTTTTCGTCATATTCCACTTCAATCAGACTATTAATTAACGCTCTACCATTCGGCCTTCTTTTCTGACTCATTATATGCCGGCGCTTGTCTGGTGGACCTTCATCTCCTGAATTCCCTATGCTTGTACGCTTCCGTTTACTTTTTTGTTTACCAGGTGATGCCCTATACGAGGTTGTAACATTACCTTCGCAAGCTGCTGTTTTCACCGCTTGTAGGCGATCCTCCAGGTAAATGTTTTCCATTAATGCATGAAGAACAGTACATCCTTCCTGCAATGATTGTCTGTTCAATGCCTCAACTGGATTGGTAGTACATGGTCCTTCTTCCCAATCTTTCTCGTCCATTTCCTTAAAAGCCCTTGCAAACATTGCCAGGTGATTCAACCGACACCACCACTTGCTCCAGTGCTTCAGTTTTGTCCAGTTTTGGTTGTCAAGTTTGTCAAGCTCATGAGACAAGTCGCCCTCAATAAACTGTTTAGCGTCCTGTAATTTCTTGGAACCCGATAGGACATCGAAAATTAAGTAAACATTCTCTTTATCTCGTTCGTCTTCAATTTTGCCCGCTAAAGTTTTGAAGATACGAGTTTCAGCCTCGCTTCGGCAAATTAACTTACATACTCTGTTCACTGATCTTTGCCAATGAACACTGCATCCCCGGATGACTTTCTTGGCCAGTTCTTCACCGAGACATTCTTTCAGTCCTTTGTATTGGGCATCGTCGAAATCCACGAGTATAGACCTTAACCTTGCACCGTTCGAGAAACAAGCATGGTCATGTGAAACCTTCCCAAAAATTGTGGCTATCGACTTGGCATAAGTCTCGCCATCTTGTCTACTGCACAGTATTCTTGCGACGGCGTTATACACACATGTTTGATCGTTGAAAGTTACAATGTTAAGAAGATACGGTAAAAAGTCGTTACCTGTGTAGGTCACGTCCATAAATAAGTCTTCTGCTCTACTTAACAGAGTTGCTTGAAATGGCGACATAAAAAACGCGTACTTCCTGGCAGGCGTAAAAATGTACTCCGATCCTTCCATCTGATACTGTCCCATCATTTTGTTCACTTTTTCGCTTATATTCGTGCTTTCATCGTATAACTGGTTACCTTCCACTTTTTTCCTAATTTTATCAAAACCAAGTATCTCATCTAGTGGACGAAGCTCTTTATGAAAAGACATATATTTTCCAAGCGCCATTTTCCTCTCTCTCCTCACACGGTCGGCGTTAGCTGCTGGTGAACTGGCTTCAGCGGGAACATAACCAATTCCCAACCCCTTCATGATATCTTTAGTACTTTTAGTACTGTCATCAGAAACCACTTTCCGGATGTCCTCTTTAACTTTGCTGGACAGGATGTGTGGTGCTGGTTTTGAGTGATTGTGTTGCGTACCTGGCACAACACCAATCCATCGCCTTCCATCGTCACTGGATGGCCATATGTAAACCATATGTGCAGGGCATGGTCCAGTGGAAACAAGGGAATGACTTTCTCTGTGGTGTACACATCGATTGACCTTTTGTCTGTTAGAGACAACGTACGAGCAGTCAGGACCAGCACACTTCTTCACACCTTCACAAGGCCCTCTTCTCACATTTAATAAGGTATCCACACCATCTATACTTATATTGTGCTTGGCTGTTTGTGTGCTTCGTTTTGACAGCTGATTATCGTCCCAAATAAAATGAGGTCGAGTACTTGGGGCGAAATTTAACTCTCTACAGTCTTTAACGAAAACAAAGTTTGTTTGCGACGTCCCTGAGGCTGTGTCGAATCCTGGGAATTCATACTGGTCCTTAAGCGTTAATTCTATCCAATTTGCTGAATTCCTCAGGCAATCCTTTATTTTTGGCAGATGATGATGTCCTCTTCCAGTCCTTGTTCTTTTGACAACCTCTTTCTGTTCTGCTGTTTGGTGTAATGGATCGTTTATTGGATCCAAAACAAGGATATCATAAGGAGAATCCAGAAATTTCTTCCCTTTCTCGGAAACTTTGTACTGCCTCCATACTCTTCTGAATGACGCGCACCTTATTATGTTATATTTTATGTCAATCAACTGTAAATGAACAGCTTGTCTCAGAACCCTTGACCACCACCCTTGAGAACTATCTTTAAAAGTCTTCGTACCAACGGAATATGTCTGCGTCAGCTCCATGATTTTCTGCATTTCGGGCAGAGAGAATGTATCTTTCTTACTACCCCTTAACCATCCAATCAGCACTTCTTCTTTTACCCCTTCCTCATAGGTCTGCATTTTTCCGAGGTCTAAAACTGCCTGGAGTAGAAGCCTTATCGCTTCCTTTGCGTTGAAATCTCTTTTGTCTTTGATATCACAACTTGAACAACACTCGTCTACACACTGCAACTCCATCTGGCCTTCTCCAAACTTACTGATTATTTCCTCTCTCATACATCGTCCGCAGTATATAGAGTAGACCCAGCGCCATGATTGAATCAATTGTGCTTTTATCTGTTCTTCTTCACTTTTTGAACAGTTTTTGGTCCAGAAAGCTAAGCGTTGGTCGTCCTTTGACTCATTGACTAGAAGAAAACCATCAGCGCTGTTACCACTTCTTCCAGCTCTACCAAATTCTTGAATCATAACACTAAGATTACGCATGCAACCCACCCTGAAAATATTGTCCACATGTGGACTGTGTGTGCCAACCTCATAGGACTCAGTGGCTACCAATACTTGAAATTCTTTTCCTCTAAAAGCAGAGTCAGTTTTCTTCTTTACATCGTGAGTCATCCCTTTTCCATAGTAAGGTCTAACATTTTCTTCGCCCAATAGCAGCTTGAGTGATGACGTCATTAGTTCCACATCACTACGAAAATCCATGTATACGATAGCATATTCATCACCTGATATATTCTTTATATCCGTAGCACATTCCGACCAAATGCCTTCCTTTGTATTTTCTTTTACTGATCTGGAAGTCTTCTTCTTTGGTGTAATGTATGACTTAATGTTCAACTTGATGTTGCTGCGATTGATCGAGCCTTTAATGAGGACAGGATTCTTCAAATAATCCGCGCACAAACTCTGCAGTTGGGCCTGACTCAAGGTGGCAGTTAACGTCATCACAGGCACGCAGCTGAAGCTGTCTTTAATTCCTTTGAAAAAGTCGTAGCTTGATCGAAAATCGGAGTTCCGATCAAACATTTTGTGCACTTCGTCCAAAACCAATAATTTGACATTCTTCTTGATTCTTTCAAGATTATAAGAAATGCGATTGACAAAATGCTCAGGAGTCATGAATACGATTGATGGGAAAGAACTGCCATTATCACCATTAAAAAGTCTGTCATGATTCAATTGTGCGTCTGCTCCAGCGGGTCTTCCTAACGCAATGGCATCTATGTTGACTTTCTTCAACCCCTCAATCTGTGAGTTTATCAGTGATATGGTAGGGGTTATTACGACTACAAATTTTTCGCGCTCGAAGAGAGAAGGCAATTGAAAGCACAAACTCTTACCACTTCCAGTTGGTTGTACAACTATCACATCTTGGCCGAGTTCAACGCTTTGAATGGCTTGAATCTGGAAATCGTTCAATGAATTTAAGCCAAATTTGGTTAAGTGCCCCTTCCAGACGATCAAATCGTCCTCTTTAACAGCAGGCAATTCTTCCGGTCGGGTATAATTAGCCGGAGGAGAACCTTCACTTCGTTCCATTACTGGGTCTATGTACAAATGTTCTATCTCATCAGCGTCGGCGTTAACACTTTCAGTTGGTTTTTGTCTCATCGTGAAGTAACCCGCAGAATCTTGTTTTTCCTGCGGAGAATGATCTTTTTCTGTGCTTACGGAGGAGGTAGAACAAACCCGGGATCCTATCTTATGATCTTTAAGATAGTCATACGGTTTGATCTTGTTAACTTTCTTGTTTTGCGTTCTGTCATTTTCCTCCTCCTCCACTTCTATGCAATCCTCGGTAGCGATAGATTGTAGATGTCTTTCTATTTCAATACTTGCATTTAGAATGTCTAGATCCTCAGTGTCTGAGATTACAACTTCGTCCTCTTCAACGCTCCCAACATCGCTGTTAGCCTGCAGAAGCACTAAGGAATGCAGTTTCGTGGAATAGTCCTTAATAGACATTTTCATTCTCAGCGATATCCAATTTACTATTCCGTCAACCACGTTATCTTTTTGGATGGAGTCCAGATTAAAAAGCACCAATAACCCTGAGTCTTTACCTCCGACTTCTTCCTGTACTTTGTGAGTATCAATTATGATGAAAGTTGAACGTACCACGCCTACCAGAATAGCATAGGGGTTACATGTATAAACTGCAAAAGCCTTTCCCTTTGCATTTTTCGACTTTTCTAACGATTGTAATGCTGATTTCAAATGCCTCTGCTTGTCTTCAAGGTTATCCGATGACTGCTTGGCCAAGATTTCTGTGGTGGTGTAATGCGTGTTTATAATTGCATGCTGATTCATTATCTGCAATGCATCGTATACATCTGCATAGTCGCTAACCTTTCTCAAGTGGTTGACATGTTTCGGAAGGGATCGTATGGTTTCTTCCGCCACATTTTGTATTAAGGAAGCAATTTTCTGAGCACAAACATCTTCACATTTTAGGAGTTCGTCGGCAATTTTCGTGCAAAGATAGACGCACGAATTACTTCCATCGCTTGCTTGAAAGTTACTTGCAAGGTCATTTTTAAGATCTTGTGATATCGATTTATTCTGAGCAGTAAAAGAGCTAACTACCTCATCCATGAGCTCCAGTGCCATTCCCTGATGGTTACTCAGTGATATGAACAATGAATCGGGATTTTCTTGACTCCACTGTTCAAACGTCTTGTAGTTATCCCCTGGTTCCGGAACACAAATAGACATCATCGCACGATGAGCGTCTGTTGCCGATGGTCTCTTGGAAGGATCCTGATCCCAGCAGGAACAAAGAAGCCTCATCCACTGTCTAGCAGTGTCGTCACTCAACCCTGTTAAGTCTACCTCTTTAACAGCTGGTCTTTCTCCTCTACGTATGTAGTCATAGATGAGAGCGGAATTAGCAAGTTCTCCCTCCCAAGGAGTTGAGCGGTCGGGCAAACTAAATTCTGTCATTACCATCCCGAGGCTGTACATGTCGCTTTGAAAGGATGGTTTTTTCCCTCTTTCGAGAAGTTCTGGTGCTGTGTAGGCTGCGGTACCCACGACAACATCATTATTAGAAGGCAGCATCGATACAGAAAACTGCTCGAAATCAAAGCGAGCCATACCAAAGTCGCCTAGTTTCACCTTGTATTTTCCCTCTCCGTCGTCGCCGATGAATACATTTGCTGCTTTGAGATCACAGTGGACGATATTATGGTTATGAAGGAATGCAAGTCCAGAGGTCACCCCATGCATGATATGCAGGCGAGTCAACCAAGGCACTGGTAGCAGTTCATGGAGGTCTAGTAATTCTCTCGCGTTATGGACCATCGTGACTTCTCCCTCAATTTTGATTTCCTTTTCCAGTAGTTCGGTGACAAGAAGTGATCGAGTAAAATCGACCCCAAAATGATGAAGGATATTGGGATGTCGCAGGTTTTTTAGACACTTAACTTCCTTTAACAGTTTTACCTTATGCTTGGGGGTGATGTTAACCATATATTCTTTACACGCCACTTCTGTGATAGTACCCGTATCTCGATGAAATTGACCTTTGAAGACTCGTGACGTAGAACCAATTCCTATCTGATCCCGCCCTAATTCCACTTTCGTTGGATCTAAAGTTACGTCTTCTCCTCCCGCAGGGATCCTTATTCTTCTATTCTTTTCCTTTGTTTGTGGTGGAGTCTCCTTGGCACACGTGTTTACTGAAAACACCTTTGACGAAGTGTCTCTGCCGCTAAAACTCCCTGAAAAAGAAAATAAAACTATATCTCCACTATACCTTCACAGAAAATAGAACAATATATCTAACAGTTATTCTACCATGGCATGCTGGACATGGAGTGATAAACAACCTGAGTTCTGAGTTTCTTTCTTTCATTTGTTTTTTTGTTCAGATTCTCAATCATGCGTCAACGAACTTTTATTAAAACAATTATTCTACTCGGGCTTGCTGGATATGAAGTGATTATAACTAACTCGTAGCGCCGAGTTGGTTATAATCATTTCATTAGACTTATTTTAGTGGGAGAGTGCTTCCTGCTTTCCTCTCCACTATTTATTCGCCGAGAGTTAGGTCTTTACGCGGAAATCCCAATCTCGATAGTGAGGCCAATACAACAAACCAAGAACACGCACACTTCCTGTTCATCGGCGCGAGGGAATGTTGTACCATTTTGTATGTTTTTGGTTTTTTATGTACATACATTGTTTTTCATGTACATACAGGTGTGACTCGACGCACTAGAAGTTTAAGTGGTCTAAGAGCCTAATAAGCTTTAGCTTTTCGAGTATAAATAAGGTTTTGTTCGCCGTCTTCGATGGACTTCGTCGCATCGGACTTCGGATACGACTGATCTACGACAGTTTATTGTCCTTCATCGAGCTCTCTCGAGTTTTGGGCCGACCATATTACGAACAGTGTCCAAACTTGAGTGAACGAGTGACACATTTGATATCGGGGTCATCGAGTCAAAAACTTTTAGAACAGCATATGTTAAGGCAATTTATTAACAACAAATAACAAGCAAATACAAACTACGTACCGTGCATCCGGTTTGTAACTGTCCCGCGATTTGACCACAGACCCTGCGGAATCATCGGTAGTCTGAATGCACCAGGGATGTTGTCACACCTCAATTTTGGAGGACATTTGTAAGGCATGGGTTCCTTGTTTGCGATGTTATAAACTGGAGGGCAAGTGCGGTTCATTCTTTGCATGTAGGTTATTTGCCCTGCAAAGTCTAAAGGCCAGTCGTCAAAGCTCTTTTTCTTCCCACACTTCTTCTTCTCAGTCCTCTTCGGTTTCTACGGAGGTTGCAGACACCGAATTAAAATATTTACATACTCTCGAGTCTGATACAATTTTAAAATCCTTCGACTCTAACTTCTAACATCTCAATAGTTATGCTTATGCTTGTTGTGAAAATATAAGTGGACTTGGAAACATGTTGGATGAGGTCATAATTAAATTTTCTATAATGTTAATTGCATAGTATGACATAATGTAACAGTAATCATATTTTATTGTTTCGTACCTTCACAGCGTTCCTCCTTGTAACAACAGCTTCTTTGCGTTTTGACTCTATGCAACACTAAAAAGGAAGTGAAAACTTAGTTTGGATCAGAGGAAAAATACAAGTATTAAAATGGTAGACGGACGAGGAAGAGTTAAGTGCTAATAAAGATATCTCTCTAGATCTTATTCACCGTCCTGGCCTGTTAATTAATAACGTTCACTTTGGTTGCTGTTTGTGATTGTCTGATTGTGCTTGCATAATATTGACTTCAGGAACATACTATATCAGGAGCATCAGGCACAATACTCGTACATTTCTGCAGAATCGGGTGCTGTACTGCCGTTTTGAAACCTTAGCCAGTCACATTCTAGGATTTAGGATTCTGGCCGCAGAGTTGCTTCAGATAAAATCATAAAAGGAACAGTCAGGCTCTATTACAAACCTCGCGGTAAGTATATCGGCCCACTGGCAGACGAGGGACTCCTGCGTTAAACTCTTCTGCTTCCCACGACTCAAAGGTTTTAATCCTGTTCCTTTTTACCTATGGCATCAAGTAAGTAAATAGATAATTAAGTAAGTAGTGTTATACAATGAGTGCCCTGAAAGGTTCGAGTGTAAATCACGACTCCCAGGAAGGAATTTTAAATTTAATAAGATTTCGTAATGAAGTAAAATCTACTGCTGCTAGCCCTTGCTTTTGGCAACTTGCGATTAAAATACTAATTTCTCTTGTTTATATGCCGATGAAACGTAGCTTTGCAAGTTTTCTGCTTTTCACAGCTTCAGATTATGCATTTAAAAGGCTTCTATTGCGATGTACGTATTACAGTGTACAGTATTTCCGGTTTATAAATGAAGTTCACAGTCAAAAACTAATAATCATAACGTTTTGCTGCTTAATAAGGTATCATCAACAAGTAATCCCCACGTTACCCTTTCCAGGGCCGATGTAGGTGAGGGGTTCAGGGGATGCACGTCCCTCCCCCCACCCAGAGATGACCTGCGGCTTTCTCCGCTATAACTCATATTCTGCAAATTAAATGGAATAAATTCCATGGAAAATTTGACGATTATTTCATTCTTGTGCTGTGAAAAACTGATTAAACCCTGGGAACGAGGTTGGGTATCGCGGCTTATTTGCGGCTTATGCAAGAGGTGCATAGCGCAAACTTCAATCTTGCTCGTGTTTTAGTCTTCCTTGCGCTTCATCTTGCTCGTGCAAGTCCCGAAGAAAAAAAAATTCAGTGCGAGGGTAAGTTGTAAGTTCAACATATAGTTGTTTACACGTGTTATTGCTATGACAACCGACACGATGAGAGAGTCGCGAACAAACCCTTCGCGTCTAATGAAAGATAGAATGGTAGACTGCAAAACAGCCATTTTCGGACGTTTTCGGAAGGCACAAAGGGCCGTCAGCGCGATCCTCACGTGTGAAGCGAGAGGCGAGAAAACGACTGTCGGCTTTTCATACAACGAATTCGTTCCGACCAGTAGTTCGAATAATGTCACTAAGGTGTCAAAGATTCTTTGACACCTCCACCCACATTTTAAATTTGATACTTTGGACGCCTTATTTTGCAGAGTGTCCAAACTTCGTGATCTTTTAAAAATTTCAAACCACATTGCTCTGTCTACTGCAGTTGTGGCACAGAAACAATAAAATGTCTGCCGTCGTTCGATGTTATTTGCTTTTGATCGGATAAATGACAATAATATTAATTGTCGGGCGTTCGACTTAAGCTGCAATTGGCGATTTGGAAGCTCTGCTTTTCGCGAAAACAAATCCCTCAAATATCAGGCTTTTTCCAAAGCCTGTTGGCAGCACACCAAAACGTCTCTTCCTTTCAGAAGCGATCTCACAGCTTCCTTTTGATCCGATTTTAAGACAAATTCTAATTCGCTCGCAAGCGCTTCCAAATCAATGTCGTCCATCTTCTTGCGAGAATACTAGGAAAATGATATGTTGTCTATATCATTTTGACGAGGTGTGATTAACATTTGATAAAAGGCTGCCTCCAAACTAAACCGATGAGAATTTTCCGTCGCTAGAAGAACGGGTAATTTTGAACGAATTCAATATATGTAAAGCGGACAGTCGTAGTTTGTAGCGTCTCTCCCCATTCTCCATCGCCGTTTTTATACTCGCTCCAGACCTTTCATTCGAATATTGACCGTCGTTCGTGTTCGCAAAAATACGGCTGTTTTGCAATCTATCACGCGCGCTGGTATAGATGGTTCAATTCTCGTCTCATGCAAGCCGCGGCCACTGAAGTTATTTGCTGAATCCACACTTAATTGAGGCCCTGTCTTTATGTCGCCGTCTGATTTGAAACCTTTTATGTCCAAATTTTTAAATTTTCGTCCAAAGTCACTGATATCGATATCGTAAATGCGTTCTCGTACTTCTGTCGCCAAAATATTCCTTGAATAAACAGAACATCCTTGAAAAGTGCAAGATGGTAATAGTTTCTTGGGTTTCTTTAAAAACAAAGCGAGAATAATTTCTCAAGACACCACAATTTCAATATCAAACAATGTCTTTGGTTGCATTAGAAATTCTATTGTTCTGAATAGTCCTGGAGTTTACGGGAATAATCAACTATAACCATACAAACAAGACAACACTCAACAAGTCTATTGTAACTCTCGGACGCCATGAAACCATAATATACCCATTGTTCATTTTGCATAAACACTAAACAATGCCAGTTGATTGTCATACGAGAACTTGGTGTCAAACATTACCACGTGGCGCAAGCAGGACGTTTAAGTATATAACCATTCAGTTTGTTACTGGAGCTTTAGTTATTAAATGAGTGTAATTAGTTGATTGCAATATAAATTCGTTGATTGAAAATAAGAAAAGGACCACCCGAAACTTACCTTGAACCGCTTCGTGATAGCTTGGGAAGGCCGCTTTAATTCTTTGTTGGAATCGTCGTCAATCTGAGAAAAAGGACGTAAGCAATGATTTAAAACCTATTGAAATAAATTTCATGAACAAAATGTTACCGCAAGTGAAGCGATTTCAAATCAACTGAATAAACTAAATGTTAGCTACCTTAGTACTGCTGAGTGATTCCTGGATAGCAAGGACTAGGGCCTGCTCTTCATTCTGGGTCTGCAAATGTGACCAGGAATGTGCACCGAACGAAGTAGGGCCGGTGACTGCCTCAGCAAAGGTCTTCTTATCAGAAACCAATTCCATTATGGATTCTTTTGAGTTGCACAATAGCGCATAAAAATGACTAAAACCGCTCACTGTCTCACGAGTAACACTTAGTTAAACGAGATGCAAAATGTAGTAACAACGAAGGCCTGTGACGTCCTGTCACCAGACGTCAGCTCCCGGTGAGCAAAATCTCAGGTTGCAAACACAGTACATTATTGGTATACCATTACCAATTAATAATTGATTTCCGGTTTTTTTATTAACTGGTCAATCGCGAATGTGGATGTTGCCTTTTAACAAAACAATCACTGGCATTCAACATCATGGAAATACCGCTTACGTTTGGCCAGAGTTAACTAACTCTGTTTTGGTAAATAATTTTCAACAGAGTGGTGCCATTTGTAATGGAAGACTCCTTATGACTTCATAGAGGACACTCAAAAGAATCGAAAAATTGCATTCGTCTTCCATATATTAGATTTGTTCCATATTTGTTGCCGCTATATTTTATGGAACGAATTTAGGGTATTTCCGAAGAAATCAAAGATGCGAGGATTGCGCGTTCTAGGATAGAATATTGTGAATGTCAATACACGAAAAGAGTTACAGCTAAAAGTTTAATAGAAATTATGGGCCACCTCTCAATTGTTGACTTGTGTCATGGCGATAACGAGCATGAATTCAATGACATTCGTAGCCACAAAGAGAGGAGTACGAGGAAACACACGCTACATACAAGTTACATACACGACATGGTGTACTACTGAAAAGCTAACACTAAAACTGCAGAATACCCTACCACACCGAGTACTTTACTGGTAAAGGCTTAATTTAACATTTTAGGCCAATAACTAACGGC